CTGAGAAGGCCTTCTTCTTTTTCTTCTCATTTCCCCCCCTCGCTCGCCGCCGACAAGGGAGGTGCCACTTCAGGGGGTCGCCAGCTGCTCCTGCGGATCGGAGCTCGAGGAGACCGAATATCGATGCGGTGTCTGGGCGATCTTCCACGCACTGGCAGGTTCTCGGAGGCGCCCCCTCAGTGGTGAGGACCCGCTTTGGCATTGCGTCGGAATTGCGAAGCGAGGTTTTTTGGGAGGTGTTCGCCTCTTGAGGCCTCCAGGAGGCCTCTCGTCGCCATGGCTTGACTACCCGCGGGATCCGGGTAAAGATGCACCGGGGGAGAGGTCTGGGGAACGGCTTCGCGGAGGGAGCGTGGGAGACAGGCGAAAAGGCGGGCGACGAGACTCACACCAATCATACCAGAAAAGCATGAGAGGATTGGGAGGAGAATGACAGGCGCATCTAATTGAAAGGCATGTGCACACAAGGGAGGGGGGAGGACACATGATGAGGAGGCTGAGGAGGAGGAGGAGGAGGAGGAGGAGGAGGAGCAACCATATGATGAGGGGATGAAAGATGATTGGGACGAGGAGGATAAGGATGCTGAGCAGGAGCAGGGATGAATCAGAGGCGGATGATGACACTTACATGTTGCATTGTGGCATTGCCAGGAAGCTGGAGCTACATGACGTGGCTGTCCTTGGCGAGAGCAGTGCACGTGTGGCCAGATGTCCTTCCGGCGCTCGGTCTGTCGATGGCCAGGTATTTACGCCGCGGCTTCCGCATATGTACCCAGCGCGCGGCCTCCGGATATTCCACATGTGAGCCCAGCCGCGTGTGCTTTCAGCTTGCCAGCTCACAGTGGACGCACTTCGTCATGTGAGGAGCGGGAGGAGGAGCCAGGTGGCCTTCGCCAGCAGCCACCTGGGCAGCGCCCAGGAGGTCTTCCTCCTCCCCACCACCGGCACGGCGCCGCCATTGCGCCTGACCTACTTTGGCGCCCCCGACGCCACGCCAGCCGCCTGGTCTCAGGACGGCTCGTCGGTGCCCGCGACGTCCTCGATGCAAGTTTTGCGGATGAGGGGGAGGACGGAAAGAGGAGGAGGAGGATAAGGAGGAGGACCAGGAGGACCAGGAGGACCAGGAGGAGCAGGAGGAGCAGGAGGAGGAGGAGGATGAGGATGAAGTGGGCGACCAACATCGAAATATAATATGTTCTGTCAGGCTCGGCCTCTGGGGGCCGCTGTCGAGCTCCGCTGCAATCAGAGCCGATCCGGGACGAACAGCGAGCCACAGTGAAGGGGTCGAGGGAGAGCAGGAAGAGCCACAATAGCAGCAGCAAGACCAGACACAGGCCGAGGGGGAGAAAGAGGAGGAGGATGAGGACGGGTGTCCTCTTCCTGCTCATCGGCTCGCTTCCTTCCTCCTCCCTTCTTCCTCCTCCCCTGCCTTCTCCATCATCATCCTCCTCCGCCTCCCCCTCCTCCTCCTCCTACTCCTCCTCCTCCTCCTCCCCCCTCCTCCTCTCCTCCTCCTCCTCCTCCTTCTCCTCCTCCTCCTCCTCCTCCTCCTCCTCCTCCTCCTCCTCCTCCTCCTCCTCCTCCTCCTCCTCCTCCCCCTCCTCCCCCTCCTCCCTCCGCCCCTCTTCCTCCGTCGGTGCTCGTGTCGTCCTCCTGCCGGCAGCCGCTGGGATACCCGGCGCTGTTCCTGGTGCCCGCCGGGGGCGCAACCGGCGCTGCGGCCGCCGTGCCGTTTCCCTACGGCTGCTGCGGCTGCGAGCAGGCGCGCGCCCCGTGTATGTGTCAGGAGAGGAAGAAGCACACATTTTTGATCTGCGGGGCGAGAGCGAACCTCGTCCGCTGAAAGCAAGGCGGGCTACGCACAGCTCTACTTGGGGAGACAGGGCACAGGCGGGCGGGGCCTCAGGCGGCCGGAGTGGGCGGGGCCCGGGGTGCAGGCGGTGCCGAAGAGCTTGGAGGGGAAGAAACACACGTGCACAGTGAATCGTCGACTCCCAGGAAAAAAAAGGAGGATATTATGGGCAGTGGGGGGTAAGACGAAAATCCAGAAGATATAGGAAACAAATTGTGAGATCCAAGGTTTTGTCTCTATCTATGTGTGTGTCCCTGAGCCCCTTGAGAGTAGGTGTCCCTACATTCTGGTGGCGTCGACTGGCCAACTCACCGATCCTGGCCAGGGCGACCCTGGGCCGGGCTCGGTTTGCACGCCGCCCTGGCCAAGGCAGGAGGGCGCGTTTCCCCTCGACCTCCTCCTCCTCCCCCTCCTCCCCTCCTCCTCCTCCCCCTCTCCTCCTCTCCTCCTCCTCCTCCTCCTCCCTCCTCCTCCTCCTCCTCCTCCTCCTCCTCTCCTCTTCTCCTCCTTCCCCTTCTCCTCCTCCTCCTCCTCCTCCTCCTCCTCCTCCTCCTCCTCCTCCTCCTCCTCCTCCTCGCGATCCTGTCCCCAGGATGGGCACGGCCAGGAACGGTGGGGTGGTCCGTGGACGTTTCCAGACGGTTCGCAGCGTTCAAGCGCCTTGAGCTGATCGAGGTGGAGTCTTGCTCGCGAGTCTCTCGAGGGCGTCGAAGAGGGGGTGACGACTGTGTGTGGATACGGTGTCTGGGGCCATGAACTCTCTCAGGTGTCACGGCCCGTTTTTCTTCTTCTTCTTCTTCTTCTTCGTCTTCTTCTTCTTCCGATACGCCCCCAGGAACCCCGCCGCGTCTTCGCACATGCCTCGGGCCGTGATGCGCTGACCCCCCCTTGCTGCCTGCTGCCCCCCGCCTTTTCGGCACACCCGAGAGCTCCGGCGTCTGGAATCCGTTTTCGGGCTCAGTGGCTGCTCGAACTGGTCTGGGGTGAATAATTGTGTCCAGGGAGGGTGTCGAAACCTTGGGGGCCCGCGGATTGAGAGCAACCATCCTTCGGAGGAATTTGGGAATCTGGATTCACTCAGTGGGACGAGGATCGGAAGAGGTTTCTGTACGGATGTTGATGCTTGTTTGCCCGTTGGGTTCCCGGGAGCGCCCTCATCGCCTCTGCCTGATTCCTTTCGAGGTCCCGGCCCCAGGAGAGGTTTTGGGGGGCGGCGGTTTTGGAAGGGGGGTCTACAGGGCTCCCGTGGCATCGGGGAGCCGATTCCTTGACCGCCTGCGGGCCCGCTTACTCCCCTGCGGGTCCAGGTGGGGGCTGAGGTGTCGTCAGATTATGGCCCCCTGGCTTTGTCAGCTACCCGGACACGCCCGTGCCGAACCACGCAACACGCACGGTGTTCAAAACGCACAGGTTGAACACGCTGCGTCTTGGCTCGGCACGTGTGGGCCCGGGTGCTGGCGAACTTCTCACGGCAGACCGACGCCTTCAGTGTGCCCGTTGAGTTCCGTGTCCACACGCTACGGGTTGCGCGTTGCGCATCGGGGCAGATAGCCAGCGTTTCGGAAACATCCGACCTGCCGGGGACGGCCTCGCATGTGGTTTCCCACAGACGTCGGCCCCGGCGGGGAGGCCGACGTGGCGGAGGGTCCGCAGAGGCTGGCGTGGAGTGCGCAGGAGTGGCGGGTCTCTCAGAGGGTGGCAGGTCGGCGGACGCCGTCGCGGAGGGAACGGCAGAGAGGCAGGTATCCCGCCCGGCCCTTGTCAGCCGAACAGGCTCGTGGACGGAAAAATGTGTGAGCAGAAATGCAGCGGTGCTGGTGTAGCATCGGCCCTGGCCCCTATCGATCGGGATTTCGGAGCTGCTTCGCGACCTCTCGTTACTGTGTCCGTGATGCGCACGGCACGCGCGCGAGCTGACAGACCACAGGTGGCCTGTCCCGAGGGGCTCTTGCCAGCGTAAAACACAGAGGTGCCCGACATTGCTTGACCGAAAGCGCAGTGCGACCGAAATCGCTGCCGAAGCTGAACATCGGCTTGATTTCGAGCCTCCACAAATCGATCACACTCAGGCGCGGTCGGAGGAAATTCGACCGCCAGTTTCGGGCACTCGGGCAGGTTTTCGGGTACAGTTTCGGCCAACGCCCCCTGCCCCGGTACAGACGAGGCGAGAGCATTTGCATGCCCGTGGCTTCCGAATTCGACCACTTGATGCGGCTGGCCTGTGCGGGCCCGGATGCCCGTGTGGCCGCATGTTTTCCCAGCGCCCTCGGCCCGCGCGCGGTGATCGCCAAGGGCCCCCCGCCCCTCTGAGATCCTAGCGTCACAACCTTTTCGCTTCGGCGAGTCCGCCGTGTTTCAAGTCCTGGGACCCTCACGGAGCGCTCCTGCTCGAAAACTGTTGCCGGGAGATGGGGTCCAGTCTTCTGGTCGAGCTTTCCTACGATGTTGTATCCCTCGTGGCGCAGGATCTCAGGGCAGGATTGCCTGCTGAGCCCAGTCGGCGTCTGAGCCCGCTCGGCTGCCGCAGCAGACCCAGGAGCGAGCCCACCCGGCTGCCGGAGGTGCCGAGTCGGCCCCAACCCCTCGAGAGTGAGCTCGCTCGCGGCCGAATGGTTTCCTTGGCATCGCTCGGACGTGTGCAGTTCTCCTTCGGCGAGGACCATCGAGGAGCATCCTTGATCATTTGGCGAAAAAAACACGCACGATACCGAAACAAAAATACAGGCAATGGACGTCCGAGCGATGGCCAGTTTCAGGCTAGAAACGGCTCAGATTGGGATCAGAAGAGAACCAGAGGGCAACGCTCCCCCGACCCCGCTGTGGATGATTTTCTGTCCTCTGGCCCACCACGCCGGGACCATTTTGGGCAAGCGGCGCTTGCTCCCGATTGGCTCCATTTCGGGGGTCGTCGGCGTTGCCCCTCCCCCGTCGTCGCTGTTACGATGGACCTCCGATGTCTGCTTATGGGAGTCTTGGGCGGCGACATTGAAATCAGTTGTTCGTTGCACTTGGGCCGCATTTTGCCCTTCCCCCTGCTCCTTCTCGCCCCTCCTGCTCCTCCTCCCCCTCCTCGTTCTGCTCGTCTCCCCTGTGACGGGGCGAACCGGGTCCACATCTGGCCCCACACGCGTTCCAAAAGTCTCTCCGTAGCATTGCTGGCTCAAGCCAGCCTGGGGTGCTGCGCGGTCCGGCCGCGGCCATGGCCGGCCCCGTGGCTTTCTGCAACTGCGGCGGCGCGCGCAGCAGCAGCAGCAGCAGCAGCAGCAGCAGCAGCAGCAGCAGCAGCAACAGCAGCAGCGGCAGCGGCGGCGGTGGCAGCAGCCACGGCGCGAGCTCTGGTGGGGACAGCTGCGCGCGGCGCAGCTCGTCGGCCTCGGGCAGGCCGCGGGCATCGCCGGCGGCGCCGCCGCGGCTCGCCCTCTCCGCCGCCGAGCGGGCGGGCGCCGCGGCCGCGAGGCCCTCTGGCTCCCATGGCCGGGGCGCCTCCCGGAGTGCCGCGGGCGCCGGCGGCCAGCCGCGGGGCGCGGGCTGGCCGGTCGTCCAGGTCCTCACCCACGAGTGGGAGGGCGCCGCTGGCTTCGCCTCCGAGGACTCGGGGGAGGGTGCCCTCCCCGAGGGCGCGCGTGGGCCGCGGCGGGGCGAGGGCAGCCCTGGCGCCCTCCGCGTCCTCACGCACGAGTGGGCGGGCGACCTGGACTCGGACGCCTCCTCCGGCTCGGCCGCTTGCTCGCCTGGCCCCAGGCGGCGCCATCGCCTGCAGGGGCGGCTGCCAGAGGGCCGCGTGAGCTCCATAAAGCTGGCGACGGACGCCGTGCAGGCTGCCGAGAGCATTGTGCGGCGCAAGGAGGGCTTCAGAAGCTTACTGCAGCCGCTTGGCGGCGTCATCGTGTTCCTATCGTGCAACTTGAAGCTCTTAGCGGTTGGCCATTTCCTCAGGCTGTTCGAAATCAAGGAGACGGCGTTCGTGTTCTGCCAAAGTGTCCACCGCAATTTCTTATTGCTGTTCCCCGTGGTCTTCGTGCTCAACGGAGGCTTCATTATTTTTCAGATCGCATGCGTGCGAAGAGACAGGGAGCTGAGACAGGCGCGATTGCGCCTGTGGAACAGCGGCTCGCACGCCGCCTGGTTCCTCACCTGCCTCGGCAGTTTCATCTTCCTGGGGGCGCTCTCCGGTTGGCAGCTGATGCGCGCTTACCGGCAGTTGAAGAAACCGGGATACCGTGACAGCTTCTTGGTGGAGCTAAGTGATCCAAGCATGGTGGACGATACGGCGCATATGATGCCGATGTTCAGCAGCCATTTGGTTTTCCTCGTGGAGTTGCTCTTTGTGATTTTGGAGTTCCGCGTGTCCCTGGATGTAGTACTTTGCAACCTGATCTTCGAGTTCACATGGATTGTCAGCTTCACGCTGGTGGTCATCGCCGCCGTGACGTTCGATCGCAGTGTGTCGCGCCGGATCCGGAAGCTGAAGCACTTTGAATCGGCACACGTCCTCTTCCGCGCGTTCGAGCTGTGGACGAAGTGCTGGATCTGCCGTGCGTACTTCTGGATGTTGCACGGGAACGACTGGGCGCTGTGGCCTTTTTTCATCTTGGAATGGGCCTTCTGCACCGCGGCGCTCTGTTGGGTCTCGGGGGCAGCGTCGTGGCGCGAGATGATGGTGGGGTCTTTTCTGGTCGGACCCAATCTTGCTCTGTTCGTGGACGACCCGGGGCGTCTCAAGAGTGCTGGCCTTCTTACCCGCTGCCTCGACGCGATGAGAGTGTTGGAGGTCGTGTCAAGTCGGGCGTGCCCCTCTACAGGACGAGTATTCAAAATAGTAAAGAATATGATGGGGACTCTGTTTCTATGATTTGTTTTACTACTGTTTGTGCATTTTTTGACTACTTTGCATTTTCCTTACACAATCTGGCTGTAGGGGGGCATGCACGACCTGAAGGTCGTCATTCTGAGCTGCTGGATTGTAACAGACTGGCTGGGCCTGCAGCGGGGGTTGATGCACATGGGCGAGTCAGAGTATTCGGCCTGGAAGCAGTTCGGATTGCACGTCTGGCTGTGCGGTTGTGCCGGCCTGTTCCTGTTGGTTCAGGGCACCTGCATTGTATTTCGCCGAGTTCTCGCTGGTAAGCTGCCCCTGAGCCCGGGGAGCGCGGGCAAGTTCGCGCCGATCGGCGTGACGCCGTCGTTGTCGGAGTCCTCTCCGTTGATGGGCCGGGCGGCCGATTTCGACTTGCTGCGCTGGGAGAACGAGGGGCTCGGCACCTACCTGTTCGCGAGGGGGATCGGGGACCAGTTCGAGTCGCTGCTGGAAATCATGTGCGAGACCTCAGAGGACAGGCTGCAGCTCTCCAGGCTGAAGGTCGTGCGGCAGCTGGGCGAGGGCGGCTTCGGGCGCGTGTTCGAGGTGCAGGACTGTCGCTGCCGCGGCGGCGCCGCGTCGGGCAGCGGCCGATACGCGCTGAAGCTGCAGCTCAAGAACGCCAAGTCCAGCGTCGCCGTGCGCGAGGCGGAGATGATTCACCAGCTGGACCACATGTTCATTGTGGACCTGGTCCGCGTCTTCCACACCAACGCCTTCTACTGCATCCTGATGGAGCTGTGCGAGATGGACCTTAACGGCCGCATCCTGGCCTGCATGGACGGCGTGGGTATCGCCTGCTGCCTTCCCACCGCGCAGGCGCAGCACTACTCCGCGTGCATCGGCCTTGCCCTGGAGCACCTCCACAGCAGGGACTTCGTGTTCCGCGACCTGAAGCCAGAGAACGTGCTGACAACCGCTGTTGTGAAGGACGCCCAGGGACTCGGCATCGCTGATTTGGGGCACGCCAAGCTGGCGGACTTCGGCCTGGCCAGGTCCGTCGATAGGAGGGCCCTGGCACTCTCTGGCAAGGAGTTCTTCAGCATGTGGTCGGGCACCAAGGCTTTCATGCCCGACGACCCATACCCCGAGGGTCTCTTCGCGGACGACCCCCAGGTCGCCTCGGCCCTGATCGCCCGCGACTGGTACGCCTTCGGGTGCTGCGTGGTGCTCATGCTGCTCGGCGAGCGCGCCGCTCGCCGGGTGGCCCACGGCGAGCGCCACGTGCTGCTGCCGCTGCACCCCGACGTGGCGCGGGCCCAGCTGCCGGAGCACGCGGACGCCTGCGACGCCGACGCGCTGGCGCTGGTCCTTGGGCTCATCGCGGAGGCGGACCGGCGCGTCGGCCTGGACGCCGTGCGCGCGTGCCCGTGGCTGCACCAGGCATGGGCGGACGCTGAGCTGATGGCGAACACGAGGCCCTCCCGGATGGATCGCCGCCGCAGCAGCCTCAATGCCCACTGGAAGTGGGGCTTGCGCCGCCTGGGCGCGGCGCCCGTAGAAACCGCTTAGCGCTGATGGCGGGCCGCCCGGGGCTCCTCTCGCAGCGCCGGGCCGCCTGCACGTAGGACTGCACGGGCGTGGACTGCGCATGCTGCACGCAGGCCGCCTCGCAGAACAGCACGTAGTTCGCCTCGAAGAACACAGGTGCCATGCAACGCATCGCTTGCACGCGTAGGTTGCGCCACATTTCTGCGATGCGTCCCAGCCTGTGTGGCATACCGTGTAGGTAGTATGAAGATGCTTACGCGGGATCCAGCTATGATGTTTCTCGCAGTAGCGTCATGCTGCGGGAAAGAGCAGATCCTTTGTTAAAGGCCCGTCTCTTCGGTGTCCTCCTCCTCCCCCTCCCCCGCCTCCTCCTCCCCCTCCTCCTCCCACTGTCATGCTCCTCATCTTCGTCCTTCCTCGATCAAAGAGACTCGTTCCTGCCAGGCACGCTGTGGCCAGCAGCTCTGACAGTCTGCTAAGGCTGCCGCAGCCGTGTCTCCTCTGCTGCTGGCTCGTCGACCCTGCCCGTCCTCTTCGTCAGCCTCCTCATCGTCATCGGGCGGTGTTGCGCAGCCCTTCTTTGCACAGAACACGTGTTCCAAGTCTATTCCAAATCAGCTTCAGAGCGGACAGCGCCTGGGGCCACGTAGGCTCCATGGAACAGATACCAGATGGACCGATAGAGCCCCGTCGGAGTTGCACTCGGCAGGGGGCGAGTTGGACTCGGCAGGGGACACCCGGTGTTCCTTGGGCCTCTCCTTGGGTGCCAGGACCTCGCTACTCAAGCGGAGTGTCCTTCACAGCTGGGTGCCGACAGTTGGCGCGCTTCAGGAAGGCCCTCGATCGCCTTCGAGAAGCGGCGAGGTTGGCATCTCTTCTTCGGCGGAAGGTTGGCGGAGGGCGGCGGAAACAAAACGAGGCCCTCCGCGGGCGGAAGGCCGGCGGAAGCACAGGAGATGGCAACATTCTGGAGTTCAGAGTTTCCAGGGCTCACCAGCTGGGCGGCCCCAGCTGCTCCGCGCGGCCGCGGCGGCAGGAGCTCCTCGCAAGAGGCGGAGCCACGGGGATGCGGCCGGGCCTCCGCCGCCCCGCGGCTACTTCGCCACCCGCCTCCCCTGAGCCTTCTCCCCCCGTGGCCCTGGCTCGCGCCCCTCCCCCTCCCGCGCTGCCTTTGCATGGGCTAGCCCTCATGCTCCTCCCGCACTGGCCCCTCTTTTCCTCGGGAGGGCGGAAGACATCCCCAGCTCTTCTCTTGGTATGGTGGAGGACATCCGCACAGTCCGCCAGTTTCTGCAGGCGTCCTCCCCCTGCGGCCAGGGGCCTCGCGGGGAGGAGGCCCTACGTCCCTGGTACATCCTCCCCGACATCCCGGGAAAGCATGGCCTCCACGGGGAGGAGACGTTTGTTCGAATGTCATCAGACGTCCTTCGTCGTGATATTTTGGCGTTCAACGTGGATCCCCAGAGGGTTTGGACCCTTCCTCGGGGCCAGCTTTTCATCCTGAGCCGTTTGTTGGGCGATTCTGGGGCCCCGCGAGATCCTGTGAGGGCCCCAGGAGGCTGAAAAATTGGCACAAAACCTTCAGTCGTGGTATTTGCGCAGCGAGAGGATATCTCTCTCAGGGCGTGTCGCTGCGCTCGCTACCGCCTCCCGCCTCCATCCTCCACCCTCCGCGCCCTCTGCGCAGCAGATGGTACCGTGCAGCGGCTGCACTCGGCTGCCTTGGAGCGGGTGCCGCCGCTGAAGCGGCAGCTGAAGCGCGGAGGGGGCGGAGGGTATGGGCCGGGCAACGATCCCCGCCCCAGGTGTCCTTCGCGGCCGGGTCCGGTCGAGCGTTGGTGGGGCGGCGCACCTTGGACAGCCACCTGGCTCTCTGGAAGGGCTACATCGGCGGCCAGCTGGGCTCCATCTGGGTGCAGGAGGACTGGGCGCCGCTAGCCGCATGCCCCCGATAGTAAAGCGTCCCCCCTCCCTTAAGACATGAGGGTGGGTTATCTCCGTCCAATACAGTTTTGGTCGGCGGTGGGGAGCGGCGGTGCCCATTGTCACCGGGGCACAAACGAATCGTAGATTGACCTCCTTATCGCATCATCCTCACAAACAGCATCATCATTATACTCATCTGTATGATCAGATACCACTACTGTTGCGTCTACTACTACTGTTAGTATTATTACTACTACTACGAGTACGACTACGACTACTACTACTACTACTACTACTACTACTACTACTACTACTACTACTACTACTACTACTACTACTACTACGACTACGACTACGACTACTACTATTTCTTCCTCTATAACTACTACTACTACTACTACTACTACTACTACTACTACTACTACTACTACTACTACTACTACTACTACTACTACTACTACTAACTACTACTACTACTACTACTACTACTACTACTACTACTACTACTACTACTACTACTACTACTACTACTACTACTACTACTACTACTGCTGCTGCTGCTGCTGCTGCTACGACGACGACGACACGACTACTACTACTCCTGCTACAAGTACGATCTATACTACTTTCTACTACTACTGCTACTGCTTACTACTACTACTACTACTACTGCTACTACTACTACTACTACTACTACTACTACTGACACTACTACTACTTAACTACTTCTGCTACTACTAACTACTACTAATTCTTTCACTTATACTACTACAACAACAAACAACACTACTATACTACTACCACGACTACTACTACTACACTTCTATTGCTGCTACTACTACTACGACTACTCATATCTACTTACACTACTTACTCTACTACTAATACTACTACTACTACTACTACTACTACTACTACTACTACTACTACTACTACGGCTACTACTACTACTACTACTACTACGACTACTACTACTACTACTACGACTACTACTACTACTAATACTACTACTGCTACTATCAGACATGCTACGACTACTACTACTACTACTACTACTACTACTACTACTACTACATCTACGACTACTACTGCTGCGGCTACTACGGCTGCTACGACTAATTTTATTATATGTTTGCTACTACTGCTAGTACGACTGGTACTACTACTGCTACTACTACTACACTACTACTACTACTACTACTACTACTACTACTACTACTACTACAACAACAACTACTACTACTACTACTATTACTACTACTACTACTACCACTACTACTAGCACTACTACTACTACTACTACTACTACTACTACTACTACTACTACTACTACTACTATACTACTACTACTACTACTACTATACTACTACTACTACTGTACTACTACTACTACTACTACTACTACTACTACTACTACTACCACTACTACTACTACTACTACTACTACTACTACTACGACTACTACTACTACTACTACTTTCTACTTGTACTACTACTACTACTACTACTACTACTACTACTACTACTACTACGACTACTATTATTACTACTACTACTGCTACTACTACTACTACTACTGCCACCTACTACTACCACCTACTACTACCTACTACTACGACTACTGCTACTACTACTACTACTACTACTTTTGCTACCTCTACCTCTACTACTACTGCGTCTACTACTACTACTACTAATACTACTACTACGACTACTACTACTACTACTTCTACTTCTACAACTTCTACTACTACTAATAATAATAAAAAAGACTATTACTATTTCAATTATTACGACTACTAATACTACTACTACCACTACTACCACTATTACTACATTACTACTACTACTACTACTACTGCTACTACTACGACTACTACTACAACTATTACCACTACTACTACTACTACTGCTACTAGGGCTACTTCTACTTGTACTAGTACTACTACTACTGCTGCTGCTACTATTACTACTACTAATACTATCATGTTTACTACTACTACTACTACTAGTACTACTACTACTACGACTACTACTACTACTACTACTATTACTACTACTACGACTGCTGCTACTACTACTACTACTACTATTACAACTACGACCACTCTACTACTACGACTACTCCTACTCCTACTACTACCACTACTACTACTACTGCTACTACTACTACTACTACTACTACTACTACTACTACTACTACTACTACTACTACTACGACTACCACCACTACTTTTACTAGTAGTATTGTACGAATGCCACGGCTACCACGACTACGGTTAGGACCTTTTACGACTACATCATCATTATTCACATTACTCCTACGACTACCACTACTATCTGTCCTCCCCCCACGGGCGATTTGTTCTATGGGTTTTTACTGTCGCCCGAAACTGCCAGAGATACCCCCCCCCCCCAGACGGGGACTTGAAAACCTGAATTGGAAGGTTGTCCAACAGGAAGTTGATAGGTTTCCAATTTTGTTGTTTTCGAAGTCCCTCACCCCTCCTCCTCCCTCCCTCCTCCTTCCTCCTTTCCTTCCTCCCCTACAACAGCAACTACTACTACTACGACTAGCTACTCCTCCCACCCCCTTCCCTCTCCCTCATCATCATCATCATCATCATCATCAGCAGCATCATCATCATGATCATCAACAACACCCTCGTCATCATCATCAGCGTGCTTTCTGCTGCGACCTGACGGGAACAAGATACTATCCCCCTGGACCCCGAACTTTCTTATCCACACCCTGTGATTCGTAGGGGCATAGGTTTAGCTATACGCTGTACCCGTGCCTCTGGCGTCATGTAGGGGCCTCCGTTCTTTTGAAGTTTGGGTATCCAGAGGCGCGTGCCGGGCCCCAGAAGGACACACATAGAGCCCACGTCGCAGCTGAGATGACCGCTGGGGGTACCAACGGGATGGGGGGCTTAGAAGCAGATGCGAGTGTGGTTAACCCCATACCCACGATAATAATGTACCCCCCCCTATACACATAAGAGTTGATTATCCACGGCCAATAAGAGTTTGGTCGGGGGCGCGGGGGCGCGGAGGCCGAACTTCATTATCACCTGAAAAGTTCACCATCGAGGTTATTTCCTGATGTTGAGATAGCAACATGAAGCGAAGCGAACACGCTCTTTCAGAATGTCTCAAGCGAAAACAACAATTTCTGTCGTTATCTTCTCCTTCTCCTCTCCTCCTCCTCCACCTCCTCCTCCTCCTCCTCCTCTCTCTTCCTTATCTTTTCTCTCTCTTTTAATATGTTTGTTTACTTCCTTCTGTCTTGTTCTATCTCTTTCTGTATGTTTTCTCTCTTTCGATATCTCTCTCTCTCTTTCTCTCTCCCTTCCCCCGTGTGGCCCCTGAACTTGTTTACCGCTGTAACTTATTATCCAATGAAACCGAGGCAGATGAGCTACCTACACGAGCAGATGAAACTTTTAATTTTCAGTAAGCCTTTACACATGAAATCTAATAAGTTTTGAACT